ATTTTTTTTCACCATCCGGATGATGCAAGGCTTAAACTGGAACCAACAGTGACAAAGAGTGACAAAAACATTGCCTTTCAAAACGCTACATCTTGCAGGTGACAATGGTGCTTTTATGTTATTTAACTTTGTACAGGAGGTGGACTTCATATGGGAACTCTTCCTGGGTTGGAAATCTTCAATTTAATACTACTCTGGCAAACAACAACAACTCTATGGAATATATCACTTCAAGGGGGTCATCAACATATTTGAAAGAGCTCTTGTGAAAGACAAGTAATTTCTAATGGGAATTAGGGTGGATCTCCACCGCAAAAGGTTCAGAATAAAAGCTTTCAATTATAAACATGCTTTCAATTATAAACAAACAAACAGAAACAAAAATCAACAGAATATTTTAAAACATTTCCTTAACATATTTGATAAAGTTGTTTTGAAATATAGTTAATTGCTGAAGTGGATTAGCAAAGTGGATCTTGACTGCAAAGGGCTCAGACTGGAAGCTTTTAAGGTTAGTGCTAATCTACAAAGCAGATAAATTTGAAATGGTGTCTTTATGAAACGTTTTGAACCATTTCTTCAAAAGATGCTGACTTCTTAAAGAGAAGAGAAGTGCGGGTTTCAGATTAAATGTGGACAGAAACCCTAGTAAAATTTCTGCTCCTTTGCATTAAGTGACACAAGCACCACAAAAGGGAAGGGGGAGTAAAAAACCTCCATCTGGATGAGTCACATTTTCAAGCTCTCTCTCTCTCTCTCTCTCTCTCTCTCTCTTTCTCTCTCTCTCTCTGTATGTATGTGTGTGTGTGTGTGTGTGTGTCATTCTCAGTTCTCCCTTCCTGTAACCTTTTGGCAATTTGTACAAATACTGGAACTTCAGCTGAAAGGAATTAAGCAAATGAGAAATGAACAGATAGCACTCAATAATTTGAATTCCCAGTTGTTCCTATAGCTAAAATAAATGGAGCGCATTTGTCTTGTTTTTCATTTACAGTATTTTAAAGCCGGCACACCCTGAATCCTCCTTTCAGAAGGGATTGCCTGTTGCTTATCTAAGACAGAATGGGAGCAACTGCTTGAAAACACTCTGTTGGTGCAACTTGGCTATTTGTAGAGAGATGCCCTCAGTGCCTGCTGCTCAGCTGTGGAGGTCTCTTTCCTGATATTTGTGGTGTTTTATCTGCCTGT